AGTACCAACTAAAGTATTCTAAACTTAAATTATGTATAAGGTACACCGAACTCAAAGTAGGGTGCTTAAAAGGATATATGAAGTTTGTATGAGATGCTCCAAACATTATACCTGTCTTAAAACACGTGCTTAGTAAGACAATGTGCGTTTTGAAGTGAATATAAAATTAGCTGTAACGAGGTAGAAGCAACTTCGAAAGTTGCATAAGTGTCTGATTATTAGAAACGGAACCGGTATTTTCCGTATATAACCATCACCAGAGGACGAATATTATTTCCAACTAGGCAACTTGTTAATCAATTACGGATTACAGATCACCTCTAATGTTACAAGGTTTTCATTAACGTACTGAATGCTACAAAGAACATGTTCAAATGCTTTATACATAAGTCGAAGAAATTTTTATTACTTCATTCGGCGCCTGTTTTTGAACTCTACAATGACAAAACCTTTAATTATAAAGTTGACTTTATCCTAATTGTAAACGGTTTGTGTACTGTTTTGCAATAAGTTGAACTCTTTTGCTACGGGATCGGTCAATTCGGCCCAAATTGACCTTTAGAGTTTCCATTCTATAACTTCTAATATGTTTTGTGTATTTTCATGAAATTTCGCAAGCTTTCAATAAATGTTATGTCTTTTACAGACACAAAGTCAGAATTTTTAATTAAGTACTTTCACTAAAACTTTGTCCATGAATATATGGAGTCAAAGTGTTGACTGCTCTGAGTGCAAAGTCAAGGGGAAGTCATCTCGACCTTAAGTCAGAATTATGAACTTTGTTTCTTACCGTTTGGTCACTGATAACATCTTCACTTGTTGTTCTGACGTCCATGTGAAGTGGCTATTCTTAATGAATGTGCTTTACAAATACCTCTCATTACGTGCCACGCCCATGGCCAGATGGTCTAGCGAACACGTCAGTTGTCTGATAGCGTGACCACAAAATTCCACAGACCAAAATATGCTACCACTCGTCTTTGCGTTTCCAATACTTTACCATCTTTATGTGTAATTAGCTTATTGTACCCGCTTCGTGCCTATCCACTGCAATTAAATTTTTTTTAATTCCAAAGAATTTTATAACCTATTCGCATTCATCAAAGTTACTACTTTTAATATACTGATTTACTCTAATTTAATGTAAACTTTAAAACTCTTTTATTGAAATCTGCAAAAACTTTTCGACATATGTAGAAAAGAATATTGGGTTATCTTAGAAACTCTGTATCTCTGACATCATTAAGCCTTTTCTCGGCTTTGTTGCTACTTTTTCTTGATCATTAAACACCGAAAATTATTTAGAATTATAAACGGACTTTTCTCTACGTTAAAATACTTTTATTTGTGAGCTTTCGGCTCTCTTAACGGAGCCTTCATCGGGCAACAATGTTCATCACAAACTATAGCAGTGGTTCTCAACCATTGTCGTAATGAGCCATTCTAAGCCTACTCCCACCCATCCACCCATCTCGGTATCTCATCGGTAAGTCTTAGACCTTACAACGCTAAAAATATGTTTTCGATACCCGCAATGGGCAGAGATTGATCGGGAAAAATAAGGCAGAGTTATAATCTGATTTGTCATGTTTACTGAGGAATTCCACCTAAAAAAAAACGCAGTTATTTGCGATATTTCTCCTTTTTGGACAATTTTTCTAACAACGTTTTTCCGAATCCCCAAACCTTACTTGACACGCAGATAGCGTTTCCACTGGTGCATGCCCCCTGTCCCTCTTGGGAGGCGCTTTCCATAGTTTAAGATTAGTTGGTCTATATATAGTAGCAAAGGGTGTTCTTAAATTAGGATGTTGAAACATAATTATAAAATTTGACCGAATTTTAAAATGTTTCATTGATAACCTCCTCTCTAATTCAAAAAGGACTATTTTCAGCTTTTGGGTCTCATCACTTACATGATTATATTAAGTATGCGCGTATTGTAAAATGTTATCATTATACATGTATTATAAAACAAGATTCTTAAAATAATAGCTGTAGTCAAAATTAAAGTGTTGATCATATAAGTCCTATTGTCTAGAAGTCCTATTCCAGCACTGTACCGAAATCTTTCACTGGTGACCGCCATTGTGACTGCACTTTGTATAAAAGTCATGTTTTATGGTATTAAATGGTGTGTATACGTCTGTATAAATAATGTTTTATTTTTCTAATATGTTTCAGGGCATGTAACACTAAAATTAAGGGTTTATCTTTAAGTGCATTTACATTATCATAGCATTTATGGTAGAGGTTTGTTTAGTGCATTAAATACATTCTGCAGAATTCGTATATACTACCTTTCCGTTTTGGTTGATATCATACTTCATGGGAAGTATGGACATTAAATTATTAATCCATTGGAAGTATAAGCATGATATCACTATTCCATAGGAAGTTTGAGCATGATATCATTACTCCAAAATAAGTATGGGTATGATATCATTACTTCATAAGAAGTATGGGTATGATATCATTACTTCATAATAAGTATGGGTATGATATCATTACTTCATAATAAGTATGGGTATGATATCATTACTTCATAAGAAGTATGGCTAGTACAACATCTGTAATTAACAGATTACTCATGATGATGAAAAACATATTTGAAAGAAAACTGAAAATACGGTGATACTTTCTCAAGAGTTCCCGTTCTTCATATTTTCTCTAAATCAAGTTTTATTATTAGTTTTCTGATTCAACAGTTGAGAATTTATATGAGATCCAGAAGCTAGCTGACGAGTTGTGCATGAGATACAATAGTTAGTTGATGAGGTTTAGGAGGTCCATTATATCCAGTTGGTGATGCGTGAGAGTCTATAGTTAGTTAATGAGGTATATAAGGTTCATTAGTTAGTTGGAGAGGCATGTGAGGTCCATTAGTTACTTGGTGATGTGTGTGAGCTGTAGTAGTTACTTGATGAGAGGTTTAGTTAATTATGTATGTGAGAATCAATATATCCAATTAATAACGTATGTGAAATCCATTAATTAGCTGATGTATGTTTTCTTTCATTGATCACATTTTAGCGTTGAGATCTTGAAAACAAAGATACAAACTTACAAAAGATATGCCTTATGTCAAAATTTTCAGATCAACGAAAAAGCCACAATTTTTATGTATCATTCACATTCTGTTGGTAGACATGCAGTAATGATATTATTATGTAAATTTAAAAACAACAGCTACAGAAACTACAATTTCTCAAACAATTTTGAAGAAGATTTTAAACAGTTTAGGCTTAAGAAGGTAATACGAGTTTCATGTAAAATATTCAAATATCACAAGCGACGTGTTGTAGGCACGACTAACTTTCTGTGTCCGAATCTTTCGTTTCTCCAAAATTATAAAGAAATTCATTAATATTCAGAGAAAAACTATTTACCCTTTTCGAACTTTAAACAACAATATTTCTTTGGCAAAACTGACCCCCCCCCCTCCCCAGTGGCACAGCGATAAGCCTGAAAGCTTACAACACTAAAATCCGGATTTTGATACCCGTGGTTGACACAGAACAGATACCCCATTGTGTATCTTTGTGCTTAACAACAAAAACAAAACAAGCGAAACTGTTTAAAATATAACACCAGTTCTTTTTGATAAAAAAAACGCATCAAACGTAAGTGTTGTTTCACGTTACAAATACATGACACACCTAACTTCCAAATTACGAGTATTGGTGTAGTTGACTTGGCATGATATGACATTTTCATACACACACATAAATAAGCATAATATTTTGATAATTTCTTTTTGCATTAGTGTCAACTAGATGTGAAGGGATTCGAACCCATATTTCTACTTACAGCTACATAGATTTACGATAGCTATTGCTCTACGATCAGTAGTTTGAAGGATATTAACAAAAAAGTGATATTATGAAGTTATTAGAATGTTAAGTATGGGTTGTTTTTTTTCAAAAGCGAAGAGATATAGCTATCTTTTAATATTCAAAAATAAAAATATAATACATTAAAATTACTAGTAGATTTGTAGTTTTTCCAAAATAATGAGGGTTTATACATAACATATCAGTCCTTTGTTTAACGTAGAAATAAACGTTTAAAAGATTAGGGCGGATCCAGGATTTTGGATAAAGAGAATTTGCTCTCTCACTCACTAGGTCATAAACCCTTTCGAAAAAATCGAAAAGGTGGATTTAATTTGGAAACAGGACATAATGGTCTTTTAGATTTAGTTATTTTAATTCAATAATTTTATTTTTAAAGCCCTAATTTTCTTTACTTTTTCTTGAGAGTACAGTAAAATCCAGATATACGAAATTTTCTTATCAAACCAAGGAATAAATATTAGGAATTTTGATCAAAGGAGTTCCATTCTGAAAAGCAAACAAGAAGTACTTCTTTCTACTGCAATATCAGGAAAATCTAATTTTTGGTCCATTTTGGAAAATTTCAAAGGCCTTGGTAGTTTCGAAGAAAAAATCAATTTTTTGAAACAGAGAAAAATGTGCGTATTTTAAATCAAAATTGACCGTACAATATCGGTATCAATATTGGGCTAAGGGTACCTTTATTTGGTAGACCATCGGGAAGAGGGATTGTAACACCTCAACCCCCCTGGATCCGCCAGTTTATACTAATTGATTCTAATAATCACATTATTGCAGCTTATAAAGTACTGAACATTTATAAGACGTAGATATTCGCCCTTTAGTCCACACGGGAAAGGGTCCGTTTTATTACATATAACGAATATCCTATATAGCATGTATCAAAAATGGAACGTGAACTATCATCAATATTAACATTTATAAAAGACACTCGGGATTCTTACTTAGAATTACATTCAATAATCAAACTTGAATTAATGATGCTAAGCTCCAATCACTCAGCTAGTGAACGAATATCTGTTGCTCGGAAGCAGAAATATGTGGATTTAATAACTTTGTCATGAGTGCCAGTGAATACAGACTGTTATATACTTTACGTGTATGTGTATTCATGCGTGTATTTACAATGTAATATGCTCTCAGAGACAACTATTGGCCCAGAAGCAGAAGGAGAAGCGTCAGACACCAGGAATGATGCAAGCATCTGATACCAGACCTGTTTCTGGTAAGCCTCGCAAAGGAGCGGGGTGGGAAGAATCCAAACCCCTCATGGCTGGGTACAACGCGCAGAAGAACAACCATGGAGTCCTTCATTGTAAGCTTCTTTGTTTCTCCTTCACGTTTTTATTTCTATCCGTCCTTCTTTCTATTTTTCTTTTACAAATGAATTGTTATGGGTACGACTGGTTTTTGTCTCCACTTCTTATTTGTCTGCCAGCACAGCTTCGATTTTTATCTGTTTATAGTGGTTTGTATTCTCTTAATAGATTATTTTTTCTTAAATATAAAAAAGTATATATATACAAACGAACATGTGTTATATATACAGAGATCTGAGTGCATTATTTTAAAATCATTTTGGAGCCACACCACGTCGTTACAGTCCATGTCGCCACGTCCAGTCATGTTCTATATTGTATCGATCCTTATGTTGGCAGTGGTTGTCACGTGATAACTATTCAACCCTCTGTATTTGTTACTAAGCTATTCAATCTTGCACAATGGTAGTTCAATTAAAAATATTTCAGTTGGTGCCCTAGTCAAACATTATCTAATCAATAATTAATTTTTTAATATAGTTTTAACAATTTGAAGTTACGTCTGAATTAGCTAACCAAAAAGTTGTCAGTATTTAAATTGCCGTCTGAATCATACATTAGGGCTACCGCAGAATAATACTACATCTATTTTCAGTAAGCAGTTTTCATTCTTCAATTACATAAATTTGTCTTTCTTTTTGTCTGTGTCACATCATTCGCTCTAATTAACCCCCTAAGTAACCCATTTTATAGTTAGATAAACGTCACACTCTTGTGACCTCAACGCATAAACAGCAATATTCAAAATAGTAAAATCGTAGTAATGATAAGCTTTCATTTGATTAATAGAACCAGAATCTTAAAGTTGAATGTTCTGTAACGAACCTCAGTATTCGTCTTAGTATCATGTAATATACTGCTCCTCAGGCTACAGGCAGAAGCCTTAAGTAACACTTGTAAACCCTGTTTGTCCTGTATTCTTTTAAGTTTGTTTAGAACATCGATACTAAGATAAGCATAACATTAGATCGTGTTTTTTCATCTAACAACTTAAAGCTTTCAAATAATAGATATTACTTTGTAGTTACTTACCAGCCGGGCTTGATGTTATCTAGTAATTAGCACGCTCTGACTGTGAATATGAAGATTCAGCGTTTGCAACTTGTTGCCAAAAGAAGGCATTTCGAACTTTAGAGCCGTGTGTATGTTATAAATGTCACTGAGTAGCCCAAGAGGTGGTGGGTGCTGTTGAAATTCTACCTTTCCTCTTGTCTACCAGTTCAAAATTACAGATGGTTAATGAGAGTCCTTTGTGTAGCCATTTGAGCAAACCATTAAGCAAATAAACATAACACTTATCAGCCGATACAATTTATTTGACCAATAAATAAAAGAGGTTGTTGCTTTAATGCAGAACCTTAACTCTTTACAGTGTGTATATCGACTTTATAGTTCGAACAGTTTGACTTACATCTAAAATATCAACAAAGGACACACAAAATAGAAAAACGTGACAAAATGTAAATCAATTCGGCTATATATCTAGAATGCATTACAAATTATAACAGAAATTAATGAGAGGGAGAAATACTGAGCGTGGCTTGCATACAAACTGTCAGTCGAAGTTAAGGATATTACTTCTATTCCATGTTAGTCCCAGCAAGAAAAAAAAAGATGTCTCTCGTACTTATGCAAATCCAATCTCTTGTTTCGGTGCATTTTCCCATTTTGCCAACCATCGCTATATATTCTGGGTGAACAATTCAGTCAACAAATTTTCCGTAAATGTGGAACTAACGAACATTCTATTTAATAAAGTAACGTTTAATTTATAATTTAATTACTGGAAGATTAATTTACGTTCCTATTAAACGAGGCACAATCAATTCTCTGTTAAAGTGGAGAGAGTCAAATACAAAATATTTCCTGGACCTCTACTGGAAGGAATGATAATTAATTTTAATATATATATATAGAGAGAGAATACCAATCGCTTTGTTATTCACTGGGAACTTTATACACTAGCTCCCGGTGGCTCGGCGGCACATCTGAGAGCTTGTAACACTAAAAATCAATACTCACAGTGGTCGAAACCCAAATAGCCCATTGTATATTTTAGGCTTACCAACAAAAAACATAAATTTTATATATCACAATTTTGTCAAGTTTCTTCAAAATAAGATGTTATAAGCCATATCAAATTAGCATTGTTATTTCAACATAATGGGGCCCCGGTTAGACAGCGATAAGCTTACTCACTTACAATGTTAAAATCTGAAGTTTGATTCCCCGCGGTGGAAACAGCAAATACCCCAATGTGACTTTGCTCTAAAACAAACAAACCATTTGAATATAACGGAGTGTTATAATCTAAGTAAAACATTTTTATAAAGTATTTCTGCGCCTAAGTGCTTGTGGATTATCCATGACTTTGTTGGTTTATAAACTTTTTTCATTGACGAAACCGTATTCCATTTACCTTGACTTGCGCGACACCCATGCTGCCACATGCAATATTTTGTTTGTATAGTTTTTTTATGTTCTTAATTATTCTTCGTTTGGTGAAACTCTTGCGGTACTTGTTTCGACACACAGTTTGGAAACCATTGGTTTACAGGGTTCCTATTAACCTAAGAGCTGAACACATACAAAAGTGCCATCAGTATTGAACTAATACTAATTACATTACTCAGGACCTCCTGTGTAATGTATCTTATATAAAATATGAGTGATTCTAGTTCTTGTTGTTGTTTTTTATCAGTTATTTATACCGAGTTTTGTAACAGGCGAAAACATAAAATAACTCAGTATATGGCGGTTATAAATAAACACTGAGATAAGCTGGTCACAAAATGTTTGTCCCAAAGAACATCATATGTGATTCCAGTGTTTAACTGTCTTTTAGTTTAAGAACAAGTAATTTTTCAAAGACAGTAGTTTTAAACTCTTGCCTTTAAACCTAAAAATCCTTTTCACTTTGTTTGTACTTATTAATAACCTTTTTGTACTAGTTAGTTTGCGTTTAAGCGCAAAGCTACACAACGGGCTATCTGCGCTGTGCCCACCGGGGGTACCGAAACACTTTATCTAGCTTACCAATGAACCGCTGGAGGGGGGGAGAGTAGTGGTCAGTCAAAGGAATGTTCCAGATGGAAAGTTATTCAGTGTGTCCAGATATTATGTTAACCTACTTTATTACTATTAATTATTAGTTTTTGGGTGTACCTGGTGTTAAAACACCATTCACTTCTTTGTGTTTTATTAAAAATTGCAGGATTTTAGACAGAATATAAAACCTACTTGACATGTTGATTCTTCTTGCTTTATAGTGTTTGTTTGTTTTGTAGTTAAACACAAAGCTACACAAAGGGCTGTCGGTGCTCTGTCCACCACGGGTATCGAAACCCAGTTTCTAGCGTTGTAAATCCGCAGACATACCGCTGTGCCACTGAGGGGCTTTCTTGCTTTTATGAAAAAGTACTTGAAAATAAACTGTCAGAACTACTTTCATTGTGCTAAGGCTAAGACTTTTAAAATAAATTGTTAGAACTACTTTCAATGTGCTAAGGCTAAGACGCTTAAAATAAATTGTCAGAACTACTTTCATTGTGCTAAGGCTAAGTCTCTTAAAGTAAAAAAAAAATAATGGTGTAACAGTTTTAGGGTAAAATGCAATTTTTGCCAATAAATGTCCGCTGTAATTCACCAGCTTATTTGTCCGTGATGTGGGCGAGAATGTTCAGGCTTGACCAGTAGATGGCTCTTAGTTCACGAAAAGAATGTTAGTTATGAACCAAATTTTTATCGCACCGTTGCTAGTTTACAATTATTTGTTTATAACCTGGGCTATCTTGCACGTAGCCGTCTCTAATAGACTAGAGGGAAGGCAGCTAACGAACATCACCCATTGCACCAACTGTTGAACTACTCTTGACTGATCTAACAATGAGATTTGACTTTCACTGTTCAGAGTACGGGCACGCTAACTAACTGGCCATACCCGACCTTAGTTTTGAAGTAAAGAGAAAAATAAAAATATACAATTGATTTTTCCGAAACAAATCAAATTTTTGAGTTGGTGTGATTTAGTTAATACAGCCATAACAAAGTAAAAAATAAATAAATGTCCACCTATGAAATTAGCTCTTGAATCTTTCTGTTTTACCCCCACAGGTTATGATGGCCCCCTTCAGTACACAATGACCGAAGACAACCCTGACGGCATGACTAATGTTCAAGTGGTGACGTCAGTTTCTCGACCGAAAGATGACGTTGTATCCGATGAAGCACCTTCTGTGGGAACACTGGCTGAATCAGGTATGCTTTGGGAAATTTTTTGGTATGCAAATAAAATTACTACTACTACTAACTACTCAGTTTCTGTGTTCCAACAAATGCACCAAAATCCTCGCTAGTGAGAAGTTCAATTTCATGAACTTCAACCCATCTTTTATGTTTTAAAGAAGAAAATGTGTGAAAATTTCATGATATTCCGACAATTCGCTGTTATCAAGTACAGATCTAAGAAAATAGATAACAAAGAACCTTGTCACACACTCTTGCGCAGCTATGCTTTTATACGGTGTGCTTACGAACTGCTGTAAAACTATAGATATTCTCTGAAGGAGTGACTTGTACGTTTATGGTACATCATCAGTACACAGTTTTAGGCTTAGTGTCTAATAATAATATAATAAAGTTAACGTTGTTTGATTTCCACAAACTGGCAGACAGTGCTCGATACATCACTTTCACCATTACAAGAACAATTGTTTTTTTATAATAGTAATAGTAAAACAACATTTAATTAATCTGCACCATAAAAAAGAGACGTTTTTTCACTATCATTTTTTAGAAACATAATTTTTGTTCCAAATACAAAGAAGCTAATTTAAAACCTATTATCACTTTTAACAATAAAAAACTGATAAATCTATTATCACTTTAACAATAAAAAACTGATAAATCTATTATCACTTTTAACAATAAAAAATTGATAAATCTATTATCATTTTTAACAAAATAAACCTGATTTTTAACAATAAAAACTGATAAACATATTATAATTTTTAACAATAAAAAACTGATAAATCTATTATCATTTTAGCAAAAAACTGATAAACCTATTATAATTTTTAACAATAAAAACTGATAAATGTATTATTATTTTTAAAAATAAAAAACTGATAAATTTATTATTGTTTTCCACTAACAAAAACCTGATAAATCAATTATCATTTTCCACTAACAATATAAATACTGATAAATATATTATTATTTTCCACTAACAATATAAATACTGATAAATATATTATTATTTTCCACTAAAAATAAAAAAAACTGATAAATATATTATTATTTTTCGCTAACAATATGAAAAAACTGACAAATCTATTTTTATTTACACTGATTTACTCGCTTACATGTTATTCCTGATGAAACGTTGAACCCTGTGTTAGCGTATTCCATTTTAGTTGTTTTAATTTTACTATGGGTTAGGGATTTTATTTGGGACATTTAAAATTTTTTATCAAAAATATTAGTTGATTTTTGTTACTGAACTAGGTTTAACTAAGACATAATAATCTATCAACTTTTGGAATTTTTAATGTCAATTACTTTGTTCAATTTGGAATATATTACCTTTATATTTCTATGTTAATTTCAATGCATGATAAATTATAATAAAATCCCGTGAAACGAAGAACATTAACAATGTGTACTTTTGAGTGTTCTCTTCTTTTTTATTACAATCAATTGTTTTTTTTTTTGTTTTTTTTACTATTACATCTTGGCTATAGAATATGTCATAATATTTGTAAAATATTTCATAAAATTAATTTCATTGTGTGTTCTAACATTGAATAAATTATTTTCATTCCTGAGAGATTCAGTTTGAAAGTTTACTTCTCAAAAAATAAAAATTTCGGACTTATTTTTAATTTCTTGAACAATACTAAACGGAATGTAAGAAAATCAAGTCAACAGGAATTCATAGAACATTCCAACATTAATTATATTTCATTCCTTACGCTTAGCCACTTGGGAGTGGGTTAAAAAATTACATTTAAGCATCTCGTTAACTATTTATCAAAATTTACTTGTTGTATTCGTAATAGACTTTACTTTCTAAAGTGGAGAATTTTTTGCTTAAAGATTGAAGTAAAGCCTAAATTAAGTCTATATGTCTTTAGTAAATTTTACTTCGTAGTTGCGATTTTTTTTGTAATGTTTCGAGAAATCTCTAGTAGCTAAAAGGTTAAAGTTCATTTTCTCATCCATAACCTAATATTCCTTCAAAATCTCTATTTCAAAATTGTGCTTTTGTTTTATTTTCATATATTTGTATCAATTAACGGTATATATCATTTGCTAATTATCTTTAGCCGCAGCATAGTGGCTCATAGAACGGCTCTGAGTTTTTCAAGTACTAATTTTTAGATCATAGCTCCGTCATCTCTTAACCGATTTGAGATCTACTTAGGCTTAATATTGCTGGCGCACAGAAATATGCTTAATAAAAGGAAAAAAAAAAAGACTCGTAGATTTAATTTACTCTAATCTTGCCGAAAAGCATTTCATGTGCCGCGGCTATTGGGGATTCCCTCTTGTTTTAAAGTTTCTGTTTTGTTAGTCCTTTGTATTTATTTTTATATTTTGTTTACGATTTTCAGATAATTTTATTTGCATCTGCATGTGCCCCCTAGTAGCACAGCCGCATGTCCTGCGGACTTACAAC